AGAGGAGTGTATGGAAATGCATTCATTTCAGGAAAAAAGGAACATGCAAGGCATTCTAACTCATACGACACAGAGAAATAAGGAAAACCAAAACCATGTGGAAGGTTGGACTATAGATCGTCTCCTTCGGGTTCGACCACGTAGACGGAGGGAATGGCTGTGAACATCATTTTGGAGTGATGAATGAGCCTCCACGGGGTTGTATTTCTCAGATCAGTTTCTGCAGAAGCTTCACTAGGCAATATTTCAGGGTTAATTTCGTCTAATGCTTCATGATTAATTTTCGATTTCATCAGGAAAGTAACAATACCAACAAAACTTTGGAATTATTTTGGGAGTATTTGCATCCACTTTACACAGCATATGGAAATCCAGATTTCTTCCTTTCTCGGGATAATATTTTTTTTTGGCTACCAAACATGTCATTTCAATTTATCCTAGTGAACTTTCCCAAGCTTTTGAAAAAAATCTTGGTACCAAACACCACCTTAGTTTCTATTTTGATGTTTTTCTCTTTTGAAAATTTCTTTCAACTCTGATTTTGCTTAGCTTCCATTTCTGGCTGTTAGATTGAGATATTTTCAGTTTAGATTTATTTGATCTTGTAAATCTGTTACTATTTTTATTTTATAGGAACGTTTGTTTAGATAGAGAAATATTAGGAAGTTTGTTATTATTTGATCTTATCTCAGATCAGAATTCATTTGTATATATACTCTTATTTGAGAATGAATAATATAACAGAGAATTATTTCAATTTGACATGGTATCAGAGCTGTGTTCTTGTTCCTGGGAAATAATTATTGGTCCCACATCGTTTCCCTTACTATTTTTTCATTCCTCCTCACCCACCCTCTGTTACCCACCCTCTCTTCGAACGTCTCATTCTCGAACGGCCGAACTTTTCTTTCCCTTCTTTCTAAAACTCCCAAATTTATTCAAACTCCTACTTCCATTCCCCGAATCTTTCTTTCTCCCCTTCCCAAATATCCCAAATTTCATCAACTCCCTCTTTCCATTCGATCTCAGTAATGGATTCTCCACCACATTCTGATTCTGACTCACCACAAGACACCCCTGCTCCTCAGAATCCTAACCCTAACCCTCCGAACATTGTGATTCATCAGGATAACTCCTCTCTTCCCTTAACCATAATCTTGGATGATTCCAATTACCCATTATGGTCTCAATTGATGGATATGCGCATTGGCGCACGCAACAAATCTGGCTTTCTTGACGGCACAACTCCGAAGCCTCCACCCTCTGATCCGTCGTATGCCACCTGGGTAACCGACAACAAAAGAGTCAAAAGCTGGTTAATTGATTCTATGAACCCTAGCCTTATGCAGCGCTTCATTCGGATACCCTGAATACATCTGTCCAAATTCTCCAATCGGACAATGGCATGGAATATCTAAATACATCTTTTCATGAATTTCTTGACTCTAACGGTATCAAACACCAAACTTCTTGTGCATATACACCCCAACAAAATGGGTTGGTTGAACGCAAAAATAGACATTTATTAGAAGTTGTTCGTGCTTCCCTATTTGGAATGAATGTTCCTCGTTATTATTGGGGTGAGGCTGTTACCTCCGCAGCCTATCTTATAAATAGGACTCCCTCAAGTGTTCTAAATTTTCAAACTCCTTTTGAGAAACTTCAATCATATTTTTCTACCCCTCACACATCTAATCTTCAACCCAAGGTTTTCGGTTGCACTGCTTTTGTGCATATACCTAAGGTTCTTCGTAACAAACTTGACCCTTGTGCTTGTAAGTGTATCTTTGTTGGTTATTCTGACCTTCAGAAAGGTTACCGCTGTTATGATCCTATTCTTCGAAAAATATATATTACTCTTGATGTCTCTTTCAGGGAAACAGAAGCATATTACTCAGGGGGAGTATCTCACTCTTCTTCTCAGGGGGAGACTGCAATAACCAGTGGAGAAGAAGTGTTAGTTTCGATTCCTATCCCACAGGTTCCTACACCAACAGTCAGTCAGAACATTGTTCAATCCGTTTCTGAAGTCACAAATTTAACACCTACAACCAATGCATCACCCTTGGATGATCCAGACCCAGAACCTCCACAACTTACTGAGGTACATTCTGATCCTTTACAATCTTCTCACAATCCACATGAAAACACTGAATGTATTCCCAATACAGAAATCCCTGACTGTATACCCCATACAGAAATCCGAAGGTCTACTAGACCAACCAAAGGCATTCCACGCCAATTATATAACCCAGATCCTAATGCAAAAATTAAATATCCAATTGGAAATTATGTTTCAACAAAGAGGCTTTCTGAACCTTATGCTTTTGCTACTAATCAATTGTCTAGTATATATATTCCTACTAACATGCAGGATGCAATTGCTAATCCAAAATGGAAGGAAGCCATAAATGTGGAAATGGAGGCATTACAAAGAAACTCAACTTGGGAAATAATTCCTCTCCCTAAAGGTAAACAAACCATCGGTTGCAAGTGGATATTTACTTTAAAGCTCAAAGCAGATGGCAGTATAGACAGATATAAGGCCAGACTTGTAGCAAAAGGATATACACAAAGATTTGGCATCGACTATCAAGAAACATTTGCACCCGTAGCCAAACTCAACACCATTCGAATTCTGATTTCCATTGCAGCAACAAGAAATTGGGTTTTGAAGCAATTTGATGTTAAGAATGCGTTCCTAAATGGTGATTTGGAAGAAGAAGTGTATATGGATATCCCACCGGGTGTTAAGGGAGCAGGAAGTAACCAAGTATGCAGATTAAAAAAGGCTCTCTACGGGTTGAAGCAGTCCCCAAGGGCTTGGTTTGGCAGATTTACCCTTGCAATGAAGAAGTTCAATTACAAACAGAGCAACTCAGACCATACCTTGTTCACAAAACACAAGGATGGAAAGGTAACTATCTTGATTGTTTATGTGGATGATATTATAGTAACTGGAGATGATGACTGTGAAAGAAAACTGTTAGAAAAATATCTAGCAACTGAATTTGAAATGAAAGATTTGGGACACTTGAAGTACTTCCTTGGCATTGAAGTAGCAAGGTCAGATCAAGGAATATGTCTATCACAAAGAAAATATGTACTTGATTTACTTATGGAGACAGGGATGCTGGCTTGCAAACCGGTGGACACCCCTATTGAAATGAATCACACACTTGGGATTTATCCTAATCAAACTCTAGCTGACAAGGACAAATACCAAAGACTAGTTGGAAGATTAATCTACTTAGCACACACTAGACCTGACATTGCATATGCTGTCAGTATAGTTAGTAGATTTATACACTCACCAAGTGAAGATCATATGAATGCTGTTTACCGGATACTAAGATATCTAAAAGGAACACCTGGAAAAGGGTTGTATTTCTCAAAACATAACAAACTGACTGTTGAAGGTTTCACTGATTCAGATTGGGCTGGAGATAAGACTACGAGACAATCAACTTCTGGATATTTTACCTTTGTAGGAGGTAACTTGGTTACTTGGAAGAGCAAAAAACAAAAGGTGGTAGCTAGATCAAGTGCAGAAGCCGAGTTTAGAGGTATGGCTCAAGGAATTTGTGAATTGTTGTGGGTAAGAAGTGTTCTAACAGATATTGGAATCAGTTATGATGAGCCAATGATATTATACTGTGATAATAAAGCAGCCATAGAGATTGCTCATAATCCTGTTCAACATGATAGGACTAAACATGTTGAGGTTGATAGACATTTCATTAAAGAGAAGCTAGACCAGAAGATTATTCAGTTACCATTTGTAAAGTCCGAAGATCAACTTGCTGATGTGTTAACCAAAGCAGTATCTGCCAAAGCCTTTACTGAAGCAATGAACAAGTTGGGTATGATAGACATTCACACACCAACTTGAGGGGGAGTGTTAGATTGAGATATTTTCAGTTTAGATTTATTTGATCTTGTAAATCTGTTACTGTTTTTATTTTATAGGAACGTTTGTTTAGATAGAGAAATATTAGGAAGTTTGTTATTATTTGATCTTATCTCAGATCAGAATTCATTTGTATATATACTCTTATTTGAGAATGAATAATATAACAGAGAATTATTTCAATTTGACACTGGCTTTATCTTGTTTGGTTCCCACCATTCTCCTCAATAGGTTTTGTCTGAATGCTTTTTTAGCAAAGTGAAAAAAACAAGGGGAAAGCAACAAGGCTGGAGGAGTTTCTATGTTTTTTTTTACAATTTTTTAGGATTTCATAAAATAAAATAATATTAAAGCATTAAAAAAACAGGGGAGAAGCATAGAGATGACGGTATTAACCGTGAGAAAATGCAAAGCAAATTGCACTAAATTTTAGCAATAATATAAATATCCGTTCTTTTGAGTGAAAAACAATAATATCAATATCGATTACTATAGAGAAAGAAAAAAAGGAATTAAATAACGATATTGTTATGTAAACAGGTTGTAGAAACCATAATAAAAAAGTCACTATGATTAGTCTAGTGACGAGAAATTTTAGTAAGTTGTATTAAGTTATATGTTCAATTCTTACTTGTATAAAAAAAAAAAACTACAATGGAACTATTGTCATGATGTCTTTGGTTTTAATAGGTGCTTCAGCATGGCTGCAAAAACTGCCATTCACAATTTCACATCGCTGCAAAATATTTGGTTTGAATAATTGAATTTCTCTGATAAATCTGCTGATTTATTATATCAAAATGAAAAAACAAATAGTTGAAATTAGAAAACAATAGTTGCATATTATTGATTTTGGGAAAATTACAAGGGAAAAAAGAGAGAGGATGTAAACATTAAATCCATTATCATAAAAAAATTGGTTATATATATGGAACAAATCAATAGAACTTCAGGATTGCTTCTTACTTGGGCTATTGTTCTTTCATTTTACCGGATTATCATCGTTAAAAATATATAATTTCAGCGGAAATAAAAAACATATATTAATTAGTATATACATTAATAACCAGATGATGCTGATCAAGCACTGATCCACATTTATTTTATTGAAGCAAAAAGCCAAATATGCATAAACAGAGGTACATTATTTAGTAGGTAAAACAAGCCTTGATGAGAGTACCTCTCAACACACGTACACAGCAACGTAAACACTCATGCCCATGGAGCATATACCTCAACACACACAACATAAACACTCATAGCTCTAGGGTGCGAGCTTCACCATTTTCAGTGACATGGTCATAATGTATCCCATGGCAGCACTTGTAATTCACAGATTCTATCTCCATTTTCAGATTACAGGATGGTGCTGGGCAACCCATGCCCAATGGGACTCCAGAGCGAATATTTTCCAATTGGAAGTGGACACAATGAAGAGGAAGGGTTGTACTGATTTGGTCATAGTAGTGTTTGAATGCATTGTCAAAGCCTTGTAACTCCAACACATTAGTCCTCCAAATTTTGAAGTTCTCTAGCACTTTGACCATCAACTCATTGTAACCAATTACTAGTACATTCTCCCCTTTACTAAAAAGAGCCCATCCCTTCTCAGTTTGCATAGACAGCAAAGTCTGTATATCTTTGAGGACAAGATCAACCTCAAAGTGATCCTTTTGAATCTTGCTCAGAAACGAGTTGGTTATGTTCACCCAGAACTTGGATGTAATGTTACTATCAACTGTTCCCAGGTTGAATTGCTCGATATAAGTGTCTGTCTCCTTCATAATGGGATCCTTTCTTATGTCATCCACAAGAGAACCAAACGTTTGTGTCCATTTGATGTCCGTACCTCCATAAAAGAAGACATACTTCTGCTCCTGGGTCTGATTCACAATATATATTCTAATGAGTAACCATATGATAATATACTTTACATAAAATTAAACAACCCAAACATTAGAATTAACTGCATAAAATCAACCACCCTTTTGTTTTTTGTATTACTACTAGTACTTGCTTGTATATCGTTAACAATGTCAAAACTTGTGTACTGAGTTGTAACATTAATATTGAAGAAAAAAATCATTTGGGTTTAAATTATTTTTAAATATGTCTCTAGAAATTAAGTTACTAAAATCAACATTGAATTTAAAAAATTCCTTGACTAATTTATAGCTAGATTATTCAATTGATCCATATATGTTCAGTTTAAATTCAATTTTGTCCTCACAATCTTAAAACCAAGCAATAAGATTTCTATATGTGATTTTCAAACAATGCAAAATATATAGTTCCCATAATTTTCGAACAATACAAAATAATCTGAATCTGGTGTTTAGGATTTGGCTCTAAAGACAGAGAATAAACGCGTATAGCAAAGAATTTTTTTTTATTTGTTAGGAAATTTTGGAGACTTTTTTTTTTTTTTTGAAATACAAAAAAAAAAAAAATAGTTCATTTCTTGCACCAAAGGTTTAATCTCTATACTAGCAAGCAATAAAGACTATTGAATAGTTGTACTTACCACCCATTGTTCAATAGTGGGATGAATCTTATGTGCCTCGGTCCAAAACCAATTCCAGTGCTGGGAAAGTTTGTCAACGTCCCCAACTCCAAAGGGAAAAGCTTTAATGCCCCACACAAAAATCATGTGCAATGCATTTTTGTTAATTACCTCCCCGCGAGGATTGGTTACCACCACAATAGGCTTACCCTGGTAGTTCCACTCCTCTTGTAGAACTTTGAAACCTTTTATAAGTGAAAAGTAGTGCACAACGTACCATGGCATCAGAGATTTCAACTTCTCAAACTCACTCTTCTCATCGTTGTTCCATTTTTCCACAACCGGAATCCACAATATCTTGTAATCCTGTTTGTCTTTGTCTTTGGTCAATGAGTCGTGAATTGACTTTAGAGCCCAAATCTCATCTTCAATGTTGTCAAGACCAGAAATGAACAATAGTAGGTTCTTTGTCTTCAGCACTTCGTGGTTAACCTATTTAGGACAAACAAACACCAAAATAGTAAGCATCTAGATCTTCTAAACTGACAGATGTCATTCACCAATATAAAAACAAATTTTTTTTTTTCAGATGATCTCCTTCTAAGCATGCCTTAGAGAATCAGTGAAAATATCATTTGATAATTTGTTACTAACCAACTCTTGAGCAGTATTATCGAAGATTTCGAGTTGCTTAATATCTCTAGGGAAGATCAGAGCTTTTAGAAGCTCCAAAATTCCTGAATTAGTTTGGAAGACAGTAAAACGCCATGTCAAATCATTAAGACTTTCTGCAATAGACAGAGAATGTTCTTTAGTCAGTATTGGATTGTCGATTCAGTAAAGTTAAAATTTAACAAGTTTTGTCAACAATTAAAAATGTTGTCGTAAACTCAAGTCTTTAAGATTTGAGTGCAATATTTAGGTTTTCAAAATTCAATCCACCACCTTCACAAAGTAACAAAAGCATAATAATAAAACATTAGAGCATTAAATTACCAAAAAAAAAACATCAGATCGCGTTATGTTCATAACCTGTTTGGATTTTGATTTTTTCCAGATCAGTATTCAATTGTGTCAGAACAATTTTGAGCCTCCCAACCACTTCAGATTTGATGTCCCAGTCCCTGAATCAACACAATTTTAAAACAGGTAGTTTGGAAAATAATAATAATAATAATAATAATTTGAGCTAAAGTCACAAAATTTTCAATTGCATTTATGCGTAGAACTCACAGATCAGTCATCTGATTAGCACAAGCTAGAAGGGATAAGATTGCCCAATAGGTGTAAAGATCTCGAGGAGCTTTATACAAAGCAGGAACATCCTTTGCGCCGTAAGCGTTGATAGAAATGAGCTTTTCCAACTTAATGATACCCTCAATGAGTTGCAAAGTGCGATCAACCAGAGTGCTGATAAGGTCAGCATTTGGCTGATTGGGTTTATCAAACTCACCAAGCTTGAACACATGAAGCTCCAATGCATTTTCCTTGCTAGCTGCTTTCATCAGTGAAAGGCGCCATGTTTCACCGTAGTCCAAAGCAAATGCCGCCAAAGCTATCACTGCTTTAGCATCCCATGTATAACTCCTAAGCTTTTCAAGTATCCCCACTACAGACACGTGTGCATTCGATGTATTGAATGGCTTGCATGTCATCTGTCACCAAAATTAGATTTATCCATCATGTTTCTAATAAATTTATGTGTCATATATTGAAACTTTTAATACTCGTATGATCAATGATCATTTTTAGAGAGTTATAATATATATAAATTAAATCACTAAAGTGATGTTCACTTTAATAGTTTGAGCTTGAAATATTCCAGTTCGAAAAATCAATGAATGCATTAGAAAATAATGTAACGAAATTCGATATGAGATAGAAGTCGAGATAACCTGACAAGCAATTTCTTTCAGCGTACTGTAAGCTGGCATGAAACCAGACTGAGGAACCTTGTCTTCCACGAGTTCAACAGATTTAGCACGCTGTAATTAAAATTTACATATTAAAACAAAAAAATAATTGCACAACTAATTTCTATTCGAGTTTAAATATTGACTTTTGTGTTAATTATATATATATTTTAAAGAAATGTGCGGATGATATAAATATTATATAAAGTTAAACCTTGAGATCGAGGGAGCCATCAATATGAGTGGAGCTCTGAACAATGTTCGTGACGACATTGTAAAGAGAATCGACGTCGTGCCTAACAGCCTGGGAATCATGGATCCCAATAATGTTTTGTGAGATGACATCATCAGCCACGCTGAATGGGTTCAGCGTACCAAAATCTACTGATGCCTGCAACTGCGAACCAGCAATATTAGCAGTGACACCAACAGAAGTTGATGTCTGCAACTGCAAGCCAGCATTAGCACTAACACCAACAGAAGTGTTCAAACTCGGGACTATCTTTTTGATCATGTTAGCCATTCTCACTCAAACAAAACTCTATCGGATTTAGAAGCAGAGAGAAGAATACTTTACGGTGTTGTTGCCTCAGACAGATGCAATCTCACTGCCTATTTATAATCCCGCTAGGCGCTAGGGACGCAAGTTCACACTCTTTTTTATCGTTCACACTCTTGTGTAGGTGGCAGGCAAACATTGTGCTTGATTAGCATCTAGAATAATGCTTTTTGGAAGGAAAAAAAAAATTGGTGCTCTCTTCATACGTAATTTTAAAGAACAAATTATAAATCAATTAAAAAAACATTCAAATCATGATAAATTTAATTAGTTAAATAAATTTGTAGTTAAACTATTTTGAAATTATAATCACACAAAATAATATTCATAGTAAAAACCAAATTAATTTAGATTCTTACGGATTGAACCACTACGACAGCAGAGCTAAATATTTGTTTCAAGAAAGGCAAAATTATAATATCAATTTTTTCTTTGAAATTATAAATATTTATATAAGAAATAAAAATGGTTTTTATAATTAAGTTTTTTTTTTTGCAAATTTTGAAGGAGATAAACATTAAATATATTATAAAAATTTAAAAAAAAATTCATTCAAATGTATGTGAATTTAAGAGTGAAGTCTCTTTTCGGTTATTTACCAAAAAAAAAAGTCTTTTTTCGGTCCCTAACAAAAAATATAATTCCCACTTTAGTCCCTTACAAAAAAAATTAGTCCCGAGATCCCTAAGAAATTTAAAGTGAAGAGTGATTGCAAAAGACAAGTGTTTCTCATTTTATGTCCGGGAACAAAAAGAAAAAGAAATTTTTTAATTCTTTTTTTATTTCCCAGCACAAAAATTAAATCAATTCATCCGAAGAATAAGAAAAATAAACTAATTTTCTATTCATTTATATTCCCGAAAATAAAATAAAAAATTAATTGTGATAAAGTTATCATACACACCTTTAAAAAAAAAAAAAAGTACCCACTTGATGCACTGAAGATTTGTTCACTTCTAAAGAGGAACATTGACCATTTTATTACTGTTGGCAAAAAAATTACTAAACTATCACGTTAACAGTAAATTTTTTCAAAATACTACTTGACATATTTCGCTACACTGTGTAGCGAAATATGTGTGCAAATAATTCGCTACACAGTGCAACGAAATATGTCACGTCAGAACAAAAAATGTCACGTGTCAAACAGGGAGAATTTCGCTACACAGTGTAGCGAAATTCTCCCTGTTTGACACGTAATATTTTTGGTTCTGTGCATTCTGACGTGGCATATTTCGTTACACTGTGTAGCGAATTATTTGCACACATATTTTGCTACACAATGTAACAAAATATGCCACATGGCATTTGGATAAAATTTACTGTTGACATGATAGTCTGACGTGACAGTTTAGTCTTTGTTCCTTCTAAGGATACGGGTACACTACATCCTATCCCATAAAGATACGAAGCTACGTTGATTTTGAAGATAATCACAACTTTTACAGATTTTAAAGATTTAATACTAGTTTGTTACTTCATCAGAGTTTGATCTTAATTGGAAGATTTTGACATTAATTACTTTTTTCAAAATTAAAAAAATATAAAAACATTATTTGAAGTAATACTATTAACTATAATTTTGGATAAAAATTAAGTTAAGGAGAAATGAGAAAAAAACTTTAAATAGGAAGATAAATGATTAAAAATTTCAGGAAGGGAATAAATGATTCTGAAAAAAATTATAAGGGTTTTTTTGAAGTTTTACCTTAAATATATTTTAATTTATAAAGTACATATTTAATCGACAAGATTATTAAAAAGCTTCGAATTACATCAAATTTAACAGTTTAGTTGATTCCAAAAACAAAGTTGTAGAAATATTAAATTTAACTCTCTTTTTTGTAAATTAAATTTAACTTTAACTAGTATAGTACTATGTATGTTAAACAAGTATTTTTAGTTTAAATAAACTTTTAAAAGTAAAATAAAAAGATGTAAGAAAATTATTTAAAATATTAACAAATATTTTTAATCAATTAATTTAGGTTGAGTCTAAAAATACTGAATAAAACAAAAAAAATAATCATGATTAAATCAAAATATTTTAAATTTTAAATTTAAAAAATAAGTTAAGAATATATGTGTTTTTTTAAAAGGAAAATAAACTAAATGATTAATCACATTCAAAATAACGTATATGAAGTAGAAATTATTAAACTTTAACATGAGAGTTGGCTTAAGTGATAAGATAAGTCTCGGAATAAACGAACGTTTAAAAGAACAATTTGATTCGAGATTAATTTCATACGTATGTGAGTCCTTTTTCCTATTCCGGATCCAGAGAACCTGACTCACGTCAAAGAATAATTAGAGTCATTAAATTAAAAAATATATATTTATATACCCACTTTGATAAAAATAAATAAATAAAAAACCTACTCTGTTCGTTTTTTTTTTTTTTTTTTTGTAAATTACTCTGTTCGTTTTTGATATTTATATACATTGACACAAACCACAATTGTTCGTTTTGATGCAAATAATTTCTTTTGAATTAAATAAAATTTATAAATTTTAATACATATACAATCTCAAATATTTAGGTGTGAAAGAAATATTTTTTATCCATTTCTTAAGTCCGATGAACAAAATTTGATAAAGACAGCAGTGGATAAAATTGACTATAGTCAAGTTGTCTGGAAATAAATCGGTTGTCTGGAAACATAAATTATTAAAAATTAAAAAAATTATATTTTTTCTGACATTTATTTATTAAATATAAATATCATAAAATGTATTAACATTAAATACATATTATTTATTAAAAAAAATTTGAAGATAAAAACAAATTATGTTATTAAATATACTTTTTATCAAAAAATTCTTCATAGCCATATAAATAATAAGAAAAGAATCTCCCCATAAACAACGCCAAAGAATAAAATTATTATCTTGCACACACGGAGACATATTTGCGTTGTCTGCTTGTAATCAATGTGTTTGGTTTTATGCGATTAATTTGTTCATGGATTGTTGTAAGGGTTCGTTTTTTTTTTTTTTTTTTTTGCAGTAAGTTTAATAGGGGCTTTTTGAACTTTATAACTTTTTATTAATAATTAATTATCAAATTGACCTTCATTCTAAATTATTTCAAAAATTTAACCCTCTCTAAAACCATAACACCAATCTGTCTCTGTTTGACCGTTGATCACCAAGCCTACCCGGGTACACCCCTTCCTACCCGGGTATTTTTTGAAATTTTTTGCCTACCCGGATAGGCAGGGGTGTACCCGGATATTTTTCTTGACGCCTGAGAAATTGTTTGAATTATTTACCCTGATAAGGAGGAGTATACCCGAGTAAATAATTGAAATAACGGACTGTTGTTCTTAAAGGAGTAGACATCTCCAGTAAGCTTAGTATGAAGAATTAAGGAATCTCAGATAGGAGTATGAATTCTTGATCACTTATACCCACATAGGAAACTCATCTTTAGTAAAACACCAAGGATTGTTGATCTGAATGAACATTACCAATATATCATTTCTTTAGCATAAGAACGAAACTTTGATATACAAATCAGCTATGAGAAAAATAATGGATCTTTCTGTTTATGTTCATTGAAGGTATTATTGACATTTAATAAGCCAAAGAGAAACTTATTTCAAAAGTTTGCCAACTTCTAATGTTTTGTCTAGGACAAGGAACACTTTTTGATGTCTATCTGAAGTAAAATCACGAGCCTATTATGCATCTTTTCCTTTTCTTTGCAAGGTAGAGGGGATATGTTTTTATGAGTGTATGATATAAAACCACTTGTGGATCTCCACCTAAATACTTAAATAGTTAGGATGACTGGTTCCTTGACAAGGTAACAAAGCCTTGATCACTTTGTGATAAAGGGTTCAATGCTTGGTTCCACCATTCTAATCATTAAGAATAAAAATCATTGTTGAACCTCAACTCAACAAGTTCAGCTTTTAGAATGACTGAAATAGTAAACATTATTAGGATAGAAAGTCATTCAAAATTCCTAAACGAAGAAGAACAACAGTCCCAGTCCATATTTCATTTATTTATTCGGGTATACCCCTTCCTACCCAGGTAAATAATTCAAGCAATTTCCTAGGTGCCAAGAAAAATACCCGGGTACACCCCTCCCTGCCCGGATAGGCAAAAATTTCAAAAAATACCCGGGTAAGGAGGGGTGTACCCGGGTAGGCTTGATGGTCAACGGTCAAACAAGAGCAGATTGGTGTTATGTTTTTGGAGGGGGTTAAATTTTTGAAATAGTTTAGAATGAAGGTCAATTTAGTAATTAATTATTAATAAAAGGTTATAAGGGTCAAAAAGCCGTCTAATATGACGTCGTTTTGAGCAGAAATCATGGTGTTTTTGTAATTTTAATTTATTTCATAGTTATAATAGTATTTATATTTATAATTTTTTAAGATTTCAATACTAAAATTACGTCGCTTTGAGAATAAATGCAGATAACTTATCTATATTAACTGCAGAAATATTTTTCCCTTATTTTAACAGTGAGATATTTTTATTCATTTGATGTGAAACTCTTTTTTATCATAGGGAATATTACAAAAAGGTCTTTATCTAATGGGAGCGTGAAACTCGTGAGTTAACCTTTTTAGTTTGTAGTAGTTGAGCCCTGACATTAGCATAAATATCATGACAAATAAACTTTTCATCAACCGAAACGAAACAAACTGATTAAAATGGCAATAATCGAATCAAAAAAGTTAATAATTGAATTAATCAAAAATTAAAAAAAATTACCTATTCCAATTGAATTGGATCGATTTTTTATTTAATTGGTGAAAATCAATTCATGTATTATATAATTAATATTTTTAAAATTTTGCCAGTGTCCTTTGCCCTAATTTAGTAATCCTCGTACAGTTATTCCTTTGATAGCAAATTACTTTATTTTAGATTTTTATTATTTTATTTTAACTATTTATGAATTTTAAGACTTATTTTAATTTGAAGACTTCAATTACATGGCT